GAGACTGGGGAGATTAAACTCTCGGCGATCTCAAAGGCGTCTTGCCCACAAACGCACAACAATGTGGCAGCCTTTAAGCCTTCCTCTCAAATCTGGTTGATGCGAAAATACGTCTCGACTCTTGCCACGTAAGATTCCCACCTCTCGGGGTGAGAGACGTCGAAAGCCTCTAATTGCCCAACCCTTTCCATGATCGATGATCAAGATTCCTTCTTCTTCGGTCGCACGCACCTTCCAGCGATTTCGTACTGGCAAGATAACGCTGACTTCCACGCCGTTTCTTTCCCGGACTTATTTGGGTGAGTCTTCTAGCTTTTCTTAGCTGTAGAGACTGGATCCCACCTTCGTCGCCAGTGTTAAGTCCTGGGAATAATGGCGCTTGAGACGATTCATCTCCAACAAGTCTTTATTGTTTGCTCCACTCTCGAACAACCAGAGCAGAGGCACGCAGGCCTCTATTTATACCCTCTAATCCCCGGGCAAGTTCAACCAATCATGAGGCGGGCTTTTCCCACCTTGCGCATGCGCACAAGGCCGGCGCCGCTCAGTCTGGTCCCGGGCAGCTTCTGCAAATGCCCGGGACTCTTGCAACATCCCGAGCCTGCAAGATGCAGGCTCAGGACACAACAAAGAGTATTAAGAGTCCCGTTTTTAATCTTCCAAACGTGAGTTTGATCAAGTCCCAGCTCTATAATAATATGAGTCACAATACAAACAAGGGTCTTTAGCTTTTGTGCCACTACGAGTATTTGGAATGTTGAAAATGTGCCACAGACACACTCACAAAATGACGAATGCTGTAGATGGGGCCAAGTACCCATTTGCTAAAAATCAATTGGAAGGCAAAAATAAAGAAATAAAAATTCTCTATGAATTGTAGTAAAATAGTTGAGAGATTGAAAATGGGACTGGGGTGGGGTCCTCTTCTCTCATTTCCTTGGAGAGTGGCAGGGAGAACAATGGCATGCTGCCCCCCCCCCCGATGTGCCAGGTGGAGAAGCACCCCAAGCAAGCAGGCAAGTGGTCACTGAGGGCTTGAGCCAATACAGGACCTCTAGGCAGCTGGGGGGGGCAGACTTCCGCAACTTATCCCTCAGGAGCAGGCAGGCAGGGGAGGTGGAGGAGGCACGGCCAGAGGAGGAGGAGGAAGGGAGAGAACAGGGAAGTTGTTCTTGGGGGCAGTGGATTGACCACCATTGGGCTCCAGCGGTCCTTAGGGGCTGATGTTTCTTCTGGTGGGACACAGTTATCCCTATGTCCACTTGGCCAAGGCAACTTGTTCCATGCTGACTGGGTTGCGCCCACACTTCTGTGCCCACCTGGCCACGCCCATCCGTCCATGCTGACCTGGCTGCACCAAGTCAACTATCCCGATCTGGCTGTACCCACCTGTTCACACCCACCCATCTGTGCCAACCTGACCACTGTGAGTCATCTCATTCTACTCTCAAGCAAGGACTTTACAGCATACACTAAGAACTTTTTCTCAACTTCTCTCTTCCCAGGTAAAGAGAAAGATTATTCTTTTAAAATGCAAAGAAGACCTCTGAGGTATAGAGCAAAAATATCAGTGCCTAACCCTAATCCAGATTCTCCCACATACAGTATGCTAGACCTAAACAATATACCTTGGAGTCAGAGGAGAAGGCATACACAGCTAGTGGACGTTCTCCATAATTGATGTAGTTTATGGCTTCCTCCATATCTCTCACAATGAATATTGGCAGGATGGGCCCAAAAATCTCCTCTTGCATGACTGGGTCCCATTCTTTCACATCCACCAACACTGTGGGAGCTGTAATGGGCAAACGATCACATCAAGGTCTGTTCTGTTTATATACTATAACTTTATTGTCTGATTTAACCAGAGTTTTAGCTTTCCCCATGACTACATTTCCAATATGAAACCCCAGAAAACATGTCTGTCTTCTTGCTTTATTTAAAATAGATTTTCCAAGTCTCTTCCTCCAGTTCCAAGCTGTATACTCACCAATATAACGCTCACACTCATCGGTCTCTCCACCAATGACCACCCGGCCACATTCCAGCAAAGCTCGGACGCGCTGGAAATGCCTGTCATTGACCATGCGGGCAAGATCAGGTGACTTCTTGGGATCTTTGCCAAAAAATTCACAGATAGCTTGGTGCAGGCAAGGCAGCAACTGCTCTTGTGTTTTAGTTGTACAAATCACATAATCTGGTGCAATACACGTCTGTCCAGCATTGATGAATTTTCCCCATACAATTCGGTTGGCTGCATTCTGGAAATTGCAGGACTTATCCACGTAACAGGGACATTTACCTCCCAGCTCCAGAGTCAATGGTGTCAGATGTTTTGCTGCAGCAGTCATGACGATCTTTCCTACACGGTTATTCCCTATAGAGATATGGCAAAAATTTGGGTCAAGAAAGATATACAGACACCCACATCTCCAATCCAGTATCAGGGTCCTCAGTTCTGTGTTGTTTTTTTCTCTCACATTCTTCCATACAGTTCTGCAAAATTCCACACAGATTGTTTAAAAAATCCAATAAGTGTAAATAACAGTTGACAAAGCAACTGTTTTTTCAGTGTTTCCTACAATTTTTATTCCATCCAATTTTGTTTCATCTGCAGAATTGATAACTATTTTTCCACTCCTCATTCAAGTTATTAAAATGTCAGTTTAGATCTAGAATGTATTAGGGACAGTCCATTAAAATCCCATGTCAAACTGCTGTCAAATTCCTGTTAAGTGTTGTTAATATAAACTTGAGCTGTTCTGGCAATGAAAAAGAAAAGCAAATCTGAGAAAACCTATGTGGGTTGAAATGAAGTATCTTCATTGTGCAGAAAAACACCCGAGACTGATACTTTTCATTATTTCCAAAAGCTGAAGTTCTATATCAAGCACAGGCTTTTTCCTACTTAGAGTGTGACTGCTCATCTTTTCTACCACTTGTGGGCAAGATCTACAATCTGGAAGCTGCTGACAGGTGAAATTACAAATGCCAGGTGCAACAGTTTCCCTGACCTAACTTACCATTAGCTGTACTGTGATAGACAGGATAAAGCTACTTAACCAAGACACATAGCAAATTGCTGCAATATACAAGGCCTTCTAGAAAGGCAATGCATTAGCTACAGAGATAAATTCTACTGCAGATGGGAGGTAGTGGCAGGGTCCTAAAGGATGATTTTAGATAAATTATTTGAACCTTTCAATTTCAATACTTCAATATTGCTTATCACACTGTTTTGTGCAATTATCATCTATATAAATAAAAATGTAAATGTTCGTTTGTTCAAAATCTTAAATCTTCGAAAGTTCTTCACCGATTGCTTTGAAATTTTGACACGACATTGCATTTGAATACGCGCGTGTTTTTATATACCTATATTATATAGACGTCACACCTGTGACAGGTAAAAACATGTTTTTTTTAAAAAACAGCACCATCTGTTGGATGTAAAAGCAACACACGCTTTTACCAGACTGAGCCACAGCAACGCGTGGCCGGGTACAGCTAGTTGATAAATAATTTTAAATATTAAAAAGAATAACCTGAAAAGAATATACAAAAAGGGAAAATCACCTGTGTAGAAGATATAATCAAACTTATTTTCCAGTAATTTTCCTGTTTCTTCAGGACCAGCTGTCACCACAGCAAAGGTTTGCTGTAAAATAGAAAAGGGAAGTTAACATCCAGTCAAGCTGCCTGCATATCAAACAGGTGGTGTTTTCTGTCCCTGAATCTTTGCAAGACAAAAAGCCTCTTGGGGGCAATTTGGAACACAAAAAGGATGCAGTAAATTGAAGGCAACTAAGATTTTTCTTAAATATTTTAATTTCAAACTGAGACAATTGCTTTTGATGTAATGAGAATATGGTAATATAGGTAGTCCTTAACTTATGACCGTTATTGAGCCTGGAATTACAGTTGTAAGTTGTGCTGGTTGTTAAGTAGATCATCACACATGGTTGTGCCTGATTTGATGACCTTTATGTGCGGCAGTCACTAAACAAATGCAGTGGTTGTTAAATGAATCCATTGTCTGCAGTGGGGG